AAAAAAAAAAAAACATACCATAAAGAAAGCATTTTTCTCTTATTTCAGCTCTTCTGTTCCTCTTCCTCCCTCCCTTGCCCATGAGATTAACTACGTCCAGATTTTAATTTTCCCAGATATATCTTGACCCTGGAAGAGTAAGGGAGAGACAAACTCTTGCCTCCTCTTTTCTGGGCCTCTTGATTGTGGTTTTCTTCCCCACCTTCTGCTTCTATCTCCTCTTTCTGTCCTAGGGCTTTCCTTTAGCCCTGTATCCTATAGGTCCCAGGTATGGCTGAGGCTGGCTAGGGAAGTGGCCACGGGAAATGCTGGCAGGGAACTACTCACCGGGCACACATTGAAGAACCTCCTGACTACCCTGTTTGTCCTTCCAGGTCCTCGGGGTTGTGCAGGAGAGTGTCCCTAAGGAGCAAAATGAGGGACAGCAAAGGAACTGCTTCAGAATTGGAAGGTGTTGGGTTACCAAGGTGCTCAGAGGACCTCAAACCTTGGGGTGAGAGGGAGGCAGATGGAAGCTGCTTTCTCAGCAGATGGGGACTCACCTGCTTCCACCACCTGATAATAGGGCTCCTGGCAGTGACTCTGGATCTTGGTGGAGTTGTCCCCAGGTGTGTTGATGGCCTCAGACGCCACGCTGGCCCAGCTGGTAGGCTGACTACAGTTCACAGCTGTAGGAAAACAGCAGTTTAGTACAGGTCTGCCTACGGGCAATCCAGGGGCTGATTCCAGCCCAGGGCTACATTTACTTTAACCTGCACAGTGACTTTGTGAAAACATTTGAACTAGTGTTTACCAATCAGATTGTCAACAGTCAAAGAGTTTGAAAATAAGTGTGATAAGTGGGGTAGAGGGAAACATACATGGTTGGTGGAATGTAAATTATCAAAACTTATTTGGAGAAAAATTTTTAACAATATCAAAATTAAAAATGTATATATATTTTTTTAAGAGACAGAGTCTCGGCTCGGTGCCTATAGCTCAACCGGCTAAGGCGTGAGCCACGTACACCTAAGGTGGCGGGTTCAAATCCCCAGCCCGGACCCGCCAAACAACAATGATGGCTGCAACCAAAAAATAGCCGGGCGTTG